AAGAATCTGAGATTTTATCTCTCAACTCCAAAATAGCGGAATTAGGAAATATAAAGAGCGAATTGGAATCGAAGGTCAATGAACTTGAGCGTCTGAAATCTGAGGATATATCGGGATCTATAATTGGTGGAGATGTCGAGGACGTACAACAGGGGCAGAGCCCCATTGTTTCCACAGCTCTCGGAGAGAGCGCACTCCGTGCAATAAAAAATACGCAAAGCGAGGCCGTACGACAGGAGCCTGATACCCCAACAATTGATTCACAGAACGAGGATGCTCCCGAGCTTAGTCTTCGTCGTTTTCTGGTCCGGCCCAAAAAAACAAGTTCGGAATTAATAGAAAGTAGTACAACTACACAACCAGATAAATCGTCTACTTCTTCCTCCCCAACCACACAGAGCCGTACGGTACCAAATAGTACACGTAAAAATTCTACTTGCTCCACAGTAACGGAAAAAAATAGCGAGAAGAAGAGCTCTATAGATAGCGAGGCCGTACGGGTACAGAATATAGAGGAGATAGAATCTGTCTCACGCACGTCTATTGGAGGGATAGAAGCAATCCCGGTTACTGCGAACTATTTAGATTTACTGTTTACTTTTCTTATTCTCTTACTTATCGCGATTATATTACTTACTGTTTTGAAACCTATGTGGGAAAATCGAAAAAATAGAAATCGAAGCGCTTTGCGTCATCTGTCTGAGGCTGTACGGCTAAAAAATATATATTTGCCAAGCAAAGCCACTCATGCAGCTTCATTGCGTGATTGGAATCCAAATGTATAAACATTTTCATCTTACCGAACGCCACTTTAGTCATTTTTGGGCGGTACCGCTGCATTATATGAAATAGACATACTTATTTACTCGCACTCTGCGTGATATCCACATTTTTTCTTTTCCAATAATTTGCTTTATTACGGTGTTTTGCGGCATGTTGTACGCACATACCATATTTAGAAGCAGTTAGTGCGCCACACTCTTTACAAGGAAAGCGTAATCGCATTTTCCAATGTATATGAATAGCGCAACCTTCTTGCCGATAGCAGCCTTTTCCGCAAACACGTCCATTGATGTAAATATACGGACAAGAATAGAATGCCATTACTATAATGGTAATTAGATGCTTCAATTTCTATATGGAATATTTATTTTTTGAATTGAACTTTTGTCGTCTTATTATAATTTAACTAAAAAACGAAATATTCACATATCAATTAGTAAAATGCGCTTTGCATGTGATACCACGGAGATAAATGAAATTTGGAATGCATCTAGTACTGCACAAACAGACTCTGACAATGATAATTTGTTAGACGAAATGGAAAAAACCTCGGAATACAATAGCGATTCTGAGTCGTACGACAGCGACGATTTGCCAAATCCAAATATAGATAGACAACGAATTTGGCGAAAATATAAATATCTTAATCGTGCTGACTGTCCTAAGAGCGAATGCCTTTATGCTTCGGAAAAGGTTCAACCAGAAGGATGGATTATCCGACAAGAATATCCACATTGTTATAGATATTTCCATAACTTATATGAATTTGAAAGATGGCACGAATCAATACCCGAATACCAGCGTACATTTCATGAGGTTATTCGAATAGGACAACCACAAAAAATTAAGATTGATATGGATGGCGAATTGGAAAAATTTGCATCATATCCTGACCCTTTAGATAGAATAAAAAAGGCTTTTGGGCAAAAATCATTTGATGGTTATATTGCTAATACACGTCTTCATACATGGCAAAAATCTACAGATATAATGCGTAAGAAGGATGAGATTAGTTTGTATATCAACAATGCTCTCCGAATTTCCATAAAAGAGATAACTGGATTGAATCTCTCAAAGAATGACATTATTATAGCTGATTCCTCGAATGAAATGAAATGGAGTAAACACTTGATATTACCTAGGTATTTCGTTCGTGGTGCATCCAAAGCTCGAAAATTTACATCGCGAATCTTAGAACTTCTTCCAGAAAGAATGCATCC